ATACACATATTAACGCAATGGCATCTGGAATGATAAAATCCATTGACGAAAAAGTCGATGAAGATTTCTTGTTCTTTTTAGATCATTTTTATAGAGCTTTTAATACTTTAAGATCTTTGAGTGACAAAGAAATATGCGGTGTACGTACTCTATATCCTCTAGATGTTTTAATTTTCTGAATTGTACTATATGTGTATACATACATTTTTAGAAATGGTTAGATAAACTTGCGATTGAATCGTATAAGACAACAAACGAAAAACAAACACGTAATATATATTTATCACAACTGATTTTAAATATGAATGGCCGTAAGCTCAACGCTCCATTTAACGAACCCCCCAAAATCAGATATGTTGTCTCTGGACGGTGTTTTTAAAGAAATTACTGCCAAACCTATTGTAGAAGCACAAAGTGAAAAAGAAGTAAGTGTCTAATTCGTATACACTCGAGAGTACAAATATCGCCTTATGTTTAGATTAACTATAACAAAAGTAAATGGTCCCAATTTGTTCGAAACCGAGAATTAGAAATTATCGACTTAAATCACCTATCAAATGATGGACGAACTTACATAGCATGCAGAGCTTTACCCAAAAATGATGGTTTATTTGCATACGTAGCTGTAACTATGGGCGATACGTCATGTGGATGGGTTAATGCATGTGGTCAACCAATGTAAGGTCATTTACTAAAATATATATTATTATCATTCAGTTACAAATTTTATTCAAATGTGAGTGGGTTTAAGGCCTAACTGTCATCACAAATATAATTTAATATTTTAATGGTCCTTTTAATAAGCTGAACAAGTAATAAATCTGAGTTAATAGTTAGTACAAGTATACTACTTGTACATTGCAGTATTTATATGTAGGTATACGTTAATTATTTATTATGTAGTAGTAATATGAGAATATAATGTTAAAAAATATAATTATTAATAACTGCCTACAGTTTTACAATACAATAATAAAAAATAATTTAAACAAATTCTATACTTAAAATAAAATATACAAAAATATAATGAATATATAAGAAAATAATTCAAAATTTCGTGTTTGAATGTAGAATACTATTGAAGTATACTCGTACTAGTACCAATGTTATTTTTTCGAAGTTTGTACCTTAAGCTTATACACCATTTTTAATTTAGACCCGCACCTGAAGTAAAGCCATTAGATTTAAAGGTGGACTTATCTAATGTACAGAGTGGTAAAAATGGACAGGAAAACATAATGTATCAATTTACGGCCGAAATTAAATCAATTTTGTTAAAACGAAAGGCACCGGAAATTCGAATATTGACTTATGAATTTTTCAAAAAAGTATACAGCAGTATCGAACAAGAGATGTTGAGAGAAGAGGATCCTAACAGTACTGCATGTCACGATCCATACGTAGAGATGCTGCTTAAAAAACTAATAGTGAGCCAACAACGAGAAACAGTGAATAATATTATGCAATCACTTTTAAATTTCAGATTGAGAGCAAAGGATGTGAAAATTTCAATCCACACCTGTTTAAAAAAATTAAAATGTTATCCACGTTGAAAAAAAGAGTGAAGAATATTATACGATACGTAAATATAATAAAGCATAATTAAAAATAAAATCAATAAACATAATTAAAATATTTTTGTTGTATTTAATATCTAATTAATATTAAGGTAATCAATACATATATAGTGACCTAGCTTAGATTTTTTGCTTTTAGAATTATTGAAGATTAAATTACCTTATTAAAATTGATTAGTTGGTATTAATATTATTGATTATGATCTGGAATCATTCATGACCAATGATCCCAATTATTTAATCTAATCCATTTAATATTATTTCTAGATCGAAGAGCGTAACAAAAAATTATCCGAAATAGAAGTCGCTTCGACATCTACAATACTAACTCTAACTAGTCCGGCATCTTCATGTCCAAACTCAGTGTCGGAATTGATGTGGGGTAGAGCTTTAGCGGAAAAACCTACTAGTAAGGTAACCTACGCACTGGAAAAGACTTATCCCATTTGTTTAGTTCAAATGTAAGTACCATTTATATGTATACAATCATGTGACTTTAACGTATAATAATTCAACAAATAGGTTCTTATCTATATTGGTGAAGGAACGTCAGAAAATCGTTCTTCGACTTCTGGAAAAACAAGAGAATCTCATAGTGGCAATGAGAAGAGACCTACAAAACGAAATCATACGCGGCATATTGGATTATAAAGTTGTTAAAATTACAAGATTGATGTTGACGATAAAAAATTATCATTCATACAATCGTTTTTCATATTTTACAGGTTGCCAGAAGAGAATGGGTGGACGTCATGAGGATAATAATACTTTACAACAAGATAAAAGCAAGTCTCGCCGAAAAAGACAACGGAAGCAACTCGAATATTACCAAAGGTGATTATCTAGATGATGCGATTCACAAGGAAATTAACGATACTAGGAGACGCCTGGATAAAGTGAATGGGAAAAACGAGAAGTTGCAAGATGATATTTGCGAGTTGAACAAAACATTACACGAAATGATGGAGAAAATTGATATGGAACAAATACAAATTGATAACCTGTTGCGTGATTTTCAAAATGAGATAAACAATGAAAAAAATCTAATTACGGAAAGGGCTCAAACTATCGATCAATTGGGTGGGATGTTAAAAGCACGAAAAAAATCTGTTCTTTGATAATAGTTACACACGTTATTTTTAAATGATTTGTTTATCCTATAGATACATGAAAACTGACACTGTTGTTTCAAAATGTAATAATCAAAGTATAAATATATTATATTTTATGAGTATGACCTATAAGATTTCGTCTAAGTTTCCAAATTCTCAAATTATTTTAATACCATAGGTATTCGATGTATTTCATGTAAAAAAGAGAGAAAAATAAGGAACTACTTTGGTGTACAGTAGGTGTCGAATGTATATCGCACCATTGACTATGTAACTGTAATTTATGGGTCAAATTAAAATTCAATGATAAATCGTTGCACGCGAAAACCGATTCTGAGGGAAGACGTTCTGTCAGTCTATATTATTAATACATTTTATGATATATTTATATTATTATTAAAATAATTTATTTTACTAATAGTTTATATAATTGTAGGTAGATTTCAGTTTACCGAAAATGTTGCATTCATTATATTATTGATAGTTATTATTTACTTTTGATTAAAAACCGTCCTACCGTTGAACATTTTGAACAGGCTCATAAAACTACGTACAAAACTTATAGTTTAATTATAATATACCTTTATCAGCAAATTAAAATAGTTTTATCGTTAAAAGTAGCAATACAAAAATTGTACACTTTAATTTTTTTTTTCATATGATTTTTTATTTATCTCTATTATTTATGTGGTTCATATTTAGTTTATGTATAAAATGTTTTATTGTTAAAAATTTCATTGTTAAAATATTATCTACTGTAATACATTGTCCATTCTGGTATGGAATAATTTCACTCAAGATTTTAATACATTAATATTGTACATGGATATATTCAAACATATTGCTTCGCTTTTTTATATTTAGCTAAAATAATTATTTCTATTTATTAATAAATTTAAAATCTCTTTCAACCCTTCAAGTGTAGAATTATATTATTTTTATTTTAATATAAACATGTGTAAACGTATAATAGTTCAAGTTGTTATGTAAAATAAATAAAAACTGCATTTTATTTTATTAGTTAACTTGATCTTTAGCTATTGTCGCTTGTTTTAAAGATAGGTTAGATAACTCGGAAGTCGGAAGTTTACCTTTTGTGGATATTGCACTTGAGAATAAAGTGAAATTATACTTGTTTCATACATTTTATTTTGTATATAACAATTATAAAGTAAAAATAAGTAATTAATTCATCATACACACATCAAATCATTATGAATTAAATTTTTTCATATGTATTATTTGTTTTTACACCATAGATTGTTAAATACTAATAGTTATATAACATAGTAATATACGTAATTGCTTCTTTTAAAATATTTATTTTATTTATTAAAAAAAAAGATCAGCAGTTGAAAATTGAAATTATTAATTTATTTATCAGTCCATCAAATGTGTAATTTGAATATTGTAAAATATATTTTCATGTGTTTAAGAACTATATACAAAACTTAAAAAATATTATATAGATAATTTCGTTACCTAGAGATTATTTTAAAGAATAATTAATACGAAAAATCTGATTGGAATATAAGAGTTAAGTCGCAGTGTTCGTCACTACTCATTAGCACTATCTTGGCAAAGAGTAGCGTGAGCGTATATGTTAGGTTTGCAAATTATAACATTTGAAAAACAATTCTAAGCAGAGTAAATGAAACTCGTCGTGGGTTAAATCCAGTGATTTGCAAGCTTAATGAAATCTTTTTAAAAATATTCGGTACATTTAGTTTTCCTCACGCTCGTATAATCATGTAAGCCATCCAGAAATTTTAAAATCGACCTCATCATAAATCCATATTAAATTTCTACTCTATGTTTGTATCGAACTACGCATTTAAATAGAGGTTGATTGCCTGGTTTATGTATGTTTATGTAAGGTCACATAAAACTTTATCCCGAAACATTTAGACCACATTGCTTATTATTTAATATTAATATTTGCTTATAAACGAGTGTTTTGGACAGATTTATTATAATTTATACGTTTATAACATAAATTAGTACCCATAATATGTCGCGCATTGGCACCGCAGTGTTATATTATCTAAATTCTGTATTTTTGCGTGTCAAGTACGGGTTTCTCTCTATATTTATAAATATTTACGTATAATACAACTGTCTATACTTCATAGTGACAATAACGCAACAACGTAATATTACAAATTTACAACGTATTGATGTATAAAAAATGTTTAAGACATAACAATATAGAAGCACGGCCGGTGGAGGGGTACGGCGGCTGTGCGAAATTTCACTTTCCGTCGAACTACCGTAGTGCCGTCATCGTCTACTCAGACCGTTCAGTCACCGTTGCGTGCTCGATGTGTATAGTGATCAACCGCGTAGATCTATTGCCGTAACGGACTGGTCGCACGTGGACTTGTATATTATAGTGATCGCTGGCTGCCGGTTAATTATTATTATAATTATACTTTTTTAATTTTTGTTTTTAATACTTCAGACATCGATTGCATAGCACCGGTCATCGGCTTCATCGCAGATTACCACATGTGCTACGAATTACTTACAGTGAGTTTTTTTTGTCGAATATTTTTATATTTTTGATATCTAAGTCAGCGTTTCCCAAATAGTAGATTCCGACCCACTATCGGGCCATAAAAATATAATACCTGGTCGCAGAATTAATAACATTTTCATATTAAATTTTGTTATTTATCATTTTGTTTGTTAATTTGAACTTTTTAGTAAAAATATTTACAAAGTATTTACAACATAAATAATAATTATTGAGATTATTAATTAGACTTCATAAAAAACCCATCTATAAATCTATAAAGTATGCATAAATTCACTCAGACTTATTTAAGGAAGAACGGCCATTAATATATTTTTGGTTATCTTCTCGTCAAGATTACTCAATTTTAGCAGAACAAGCGATAACATTTCTCATGCCTTTTTTACAACTTATACTCGTAAGTATGAAACAGGATTTTCAACATTTGTGTTCCTGAAGAATAAATACAAAAATCAGTTGGAAATCGAACCTGACTTTAAAATAAAACTAACATCCTTTCCAGCAATTTTGGAGTTCTAAGTTAAAAATAAACAGCTTCATACTTCTTACTGATAGAAGTCAACTAATATAATTAGTTTAACTACATAATAATTATTACATTGTTGTTATAAATTAACGATTCAATTGTATTAAAAAATTATATGTGGACATTCAAATATGTTATATTTTGCCTTTTTTTTACACAATGATAAATGTAAAATATTTTGGTGAGTCACAAAAGGGAAAAAATATTAATTATCAAGCCAGCTCAAACAAGTGTTTGGGAAACGCTGATCTAAGTAATTTTCAGTATTACCTAGTAAAATTGTTCTTTTAGGCCATTATATCATATACCATTAACTCTTATTAAACATAAATACTAAAACTACAATATAAGTGCATGACTATCCGGTATTATATAAATTATGTATTATGTTATAGATTATTTTATCGATACATTGTATTGTTATTAATTGACATATAGGTGAATACATATATATAATATATTTTATCATTTTATGCTTAATTAGACTAAATATTATTCTTTTTTCTAAATTTTTGTAAATTATAGTTTATGAAATTGTGTTGAAAATAAATTAGATGTATTTTTAAAGTATTCAAATGTAGTGCTAGATTAAAAGCAAGTGGCATTTTATGTATTATCTTTGTGGTTTTAAATTACTTGATTATAATTTACTATCAAAATTTTTAATGAAAAACTAATTTGAAATGTAAAAAAAATAATTTCAAGAAACTGCAAATCAGAAGTAATGTATGAATAATGCATAATTCAAACGCCGTCTTAAAATTTGTATTATCCATGTGCATTTTTAATTTTTCTATTCAATACATAATATTTCTTGAATAGGTATTGAATACAAAAATAATAAAATTATTTTCATTGTTTTAAAAGTGTATACAACATTTTACAAATTTTACTTATTAATATAGGTACAAACAATATTTGTAAATTAAAATAAATACAAATTTTGAAGTTACTTCTTAAAAAATTATTTCAACTATTCCAATATATATAATGTATAATAATGCAGTTTTAATTCTTATCAATTTATTATAATTTGCAAGTATCTACTGTATTTTATGAAACACGTACGTTTTTTTGTAAATAAAATAAAGTAAATTTGTACTTAATATTTATTATTATTTTTTTTTTTAACATTTATTGTTTATTTGAAATATTGTTTTAGATTTTAGTTTAAAATTAAACTATTATCATTGTTCATTACTAATTATATAGAACTTTGTTATTTTAATAAAATATTTATAGTTCAATAACACACTTTTTATCTTTTTATATCTTATATATTCTTTTAAATTAAATGATATTTTATAAAAATATAAAAATTCTTTTTAGATTAAAAATAATAATATATATTTGAATTTAATATGATAACTTTCATGGTAAACCCAAAATTCAAATTAAATGGCTTATTTTACTTGTTTTAGATTTAATTTGAATACCTAACATAATTATTTTGTTATTTTTTAGTTCAATTGTAATTATGAATCATACAAATTTAGTAATAACATGAACTGTTCTAAATTAAATTCTATTAGTTACCTTTTTTTTTGTGATTTATTCTATATTTATGTTTTCATGCGAATATTGATTTAATGATGCAATTTAATAGCGTTAATATTACTGATATAAAATATCAAAACCACAATAAAAATATTTTTGAAAAAATTTTATTTCTAGAAATCAAAATTAAGGGTACTTTATTTGAATAGTTTATATTATTTTAAATCAACAATAATAGTTTTAAAAATTCGTGTGCGAGATAACAATACACTATATGTAATTATAGTATATTATGCATTATGTATCCATATAGGCCTCGTAAGAAGATGATTTTTTATTAATTTTTTTTCAACGTTTTAGGGGATGTTCTTTTAGCCTAAAACTTAGTTCAATTACATACAAATCTAAATTGCTAATTTTTACTATCCATTTTTTGATATTTTATTTTTTATTATTTAACAAACATCCACTAATTTAAATAAAAGTTATTACTTTTATCTTTGATAATTTATGTCAAAAATTGTATGATTACAATAATTTAAAAATGCATTAATTTTTAAAACTATTCATTTTAAATTTAACATAATATTTGTATTTTTTATTCAGGATAAACAAATATAAATTAATTTTTTCACAAAAATATAATATTATTATTAAATTAGTTATATTTTATTGAGTATTTAACGTAAAAATTATAACATGTATAAAACTTAGTTTTTATACCATTACAAAAAATTGAAATTGTCGTTTTTATCATAGCATTCATATATTTTAACATTATATCATAACAACAAAAATTGAACAATATACCAGAAGTGTTTATTTAAAATATATTTTAAAAATGCTAAGTCATGATCTTTTTATTTGAAGTTATGCACATTGTCATGTAACTACTGATGCGTTGTCATTAAACACATTGGCTAAGTTATCTAATACATTATTATTTGTTTTACACTTATTATTTTCATAAAAATATCCTAAACATACATATTTTAATATTATATAAAAAAAAATCAACTAATACATCAGCACGGTTATGTAAAGTTTATTTACATATAACACCATAAAATTAAATAAGCCTATATCTATTATTTAGTATTTACATATCATATTATAATAGTGAAATATACAATTCGAATGATGCATATTCCAAGGCATCCCGCACGAGATTCGTGGTAGCAAGACTATAAATTATAACATTTTAATAATAATTTTTTTCGAGAAGCTCGACACCTTAATACAATTTTAATGATTAATTATTATTCATTGGAAAATATAAAAGCAACAGAAGTTGAAGTTTAAATACTTGCTTTTATATCCCATAGTCGTTTAAAAGTCATCCATAGGAGACGAAGGACAAGGACGATTTCGTGGAAAATGTATTATTCATAATAATTATTGTATTCACACTAATAGTATTTAGTTCATTGAAAAATATTATTAAATTTCATTAACTATTTAAAAATGTTGATACTTTAATTGTACTTATTCAGTTAATAATGACACAAATAATATTATAGTATATAAATACAAACATTATTTACGTAATAATAATAATTTCTTTCTTAATATCAATAGATGTAGATAGCCAAGGCTAGGAACATCTTATCCTATCTTAAAATAAAATAAAATAAAATAATAATTTCTTAAATTATAAAAATGTTTAATTTACATTTAATAATTAGTTTTATTTAATAAACATATTAATGTATTGTTTCTTACCATTTTCCATCTATATACTTATTGCAAATATTACAGATCATGTAGATGGTTATGTAATTAAATTATAAAAATATTGTTACGTAATAAGATCGATATGAAGATTATATTACAGTATTATGAATATTTACTATCATTTTTATTTTTATAATGGAAAAAAAAATATATTTATAAATTATTTAAAAACAAAATACTATTTATTAATTTATAATAAAAATAATATTTAAACAACACAATTTCATTTTTTTTTCAAGAGGAATGAAATTTTCATTATATTATGTATTTTGTCATAATATAGATAGCTCAATAAAAACATCTCTAATAATGAATTAATTAAAATAACTTTTTACATAAAAACGTCTTGGATCGTTCTAACATGGAGTTATTATATTAAGTACCTATAATATTATAAAAGCCTGAAAATATATTTTATTATTAAATAAACTTGTTATTTTTATGTAAATAATATATCTCGTAACGTTATAATCTTTTTACTTGATTATTTTAATTAATATGAATAGGTAGATAATGTCTTACTAAAAATAATATTACAAATGAACAATATACAAATATAAACGAGGAAATACCTACACAAAACCAACTCCAACACATTTTCTACGATGCAGGTACCGTCAGAAGAACCGAGTAGACATTATTAATGTGTGTGTATGAGTGTATATGTATGTATAATGTGTAATGATTACATACTAGCTGCTAGCAGTCTAACCCACCAGAAAAAGGTTCCGTATGAATATAAAATTAAAAAATAAATAAAATAAAACCCCTTGGTAGGAATAGGTGTGACTTAGTGTATGCTTGCCAATGTGGATTTGCTATACCTGTATATTATACAGTATATACACATCCAATCAGTAAGAGAGAGATACAGAAAGAAAAAGGCAAGTTAACATTTAAACAATTTAACAGTTACTATAACAATACATTACCTGGAGACTGGAGTTATGTCACTGGAATGTTGACGTCTAGTATAATAATAGGTAATGAATGTACATCATGAAATAAATTACGTACTAACAGAGTGATTCATTTAACATAACCGAGCAACAATATTGAAAACACAAGGAATTAAAAATTAAATTAAGAACGAATCATCTTAGGAAATTTGTTAAAAATTACTTGACCATTGTTTTTAAAATTAAAATAAATATAAAATGTATAAAGTTTTTTGTATTATATTACCTAGTTCGTGATGAAATAATCACTCTGTATATGATTTATTTAATAATAATA